TACCTTTCAGGATCCTAAGCCATTCCCTGGCCCCCAATAGGGTCTCCAGATCATGTCTAACTTCCAGACACCCCCAAAATATGTCCCTATGGAAGATACTTAAACATTTCCCATTACCGCCATTAGACCCCAGACCATCTTCCAACCCTCTTAGGGACCTCAGATCTTTCCCATTCTCCCTGCCTTCATGGCACTCCTTAGTTTCCAGAACACCTGACTTGCCCTAGATTCTTTTTCATCCCCACCCAGCAGCCCTGCTCCCATGGGAACCCCAACTCCTTTCCCTTGGACTCCCCCCTCACTGTGCCTCCTGTCTTCTTCTGACCCCTCTGCCAACCTCTGGCCCTCCCTCAAACGCCACTGAGTATCTCAGACCATGCGCCGTCTCTTTCTGAGCTACTCACACGGCTCTCAAACCAGCAAGGCCTCCCTTTAAAATCCATCTTACCTGGACAGTAGAACACAGTTGTAATGTCAGCACTGGGAGGCTGAGGTAGGAAGACCACAAGTTCAAGGCCAGAAGGGTAGTTTAGAAACTGCCCAATAACCTATCTCAAAAAATAAAAAAGGGCTACTAGGAGTTGTGGCACACTTATAGTCCCAGCACTTGGGAAGCTGAGGCAGGAAGATCATCAGGAGTTCGAGGCCAGCGTGAACTATATAGCCAGGGGTTGGGGATTTGGCTCAATGATGGAAAGCTTGCTTAGCATTCTGGAAGCCTGGGGTTTGAGCCTTAACACTAAAAACAAAAAATGAACCTCTCCAAAAAAGAAACAATTCAACTAAAAAAATATAGCAAAATCAAAAAATACCAAAAACAAACAAGGCAACTGAAATACATAGCCAGATCCTATCTCAAAATAATTATTATTATTAAACATTTAAAAGAGCTAAGGATATAGCTCAGTGCAAAAGCCCTAGGTTTAAACCCAAGTACTGAAAAGAAAAGATTTTATTACTGTCTCCAGACCCCTGGAATCTCCAAGCCTTCTTATTTTAGGTCCCACTAGATAGAGGCCCTCTCCCAAGCACCTCCTTGGTATTATTCCTAGCCAAACCCCCAGAGCCAAACACCTCTGAAGATCCTCCATGAACCCTGACCCCACTCACAATCATGAAATGCCCCAAGGAACATTTCAAGCCTCCAGACTCCTTCTGTCACCCCCAGCACCATTCTCACCCCTTTCACAGTTCCTAATACCCTTTGCTAGAGCATAAGGGGCTGAGGCTGGCAGCACAGAAATGGGGGAAGGCCTAATAAAAGTGAAATGCATGTAGTACTTCTATGTGGAAGCAATGGCCCCAAGGATTCTGCACGCTACTTCACCCAGTCCACAACCAACCAGTTGAAGAAAAGTCCCCATTTTACAGATTATGAAAATCGAGGCATAGAGAGGGTTAGTCATTCGTACAAGGTCACACAGGCAGTAAGTAGGGGAACAGGACAGAAATGAAGCAGAAAGAGAAGTAAAGGCAAGTATGGACAGGAGTGGAGAAGGAGAGGGTGAGGTAAAAGAGACAGCTGCACACGAAGATGAAGAAACCAGAGTGTGAGTGAGGCCCAGGTAGTGGCAAGCTCCCCTCAGAGTCTCTCTGACCCTGTAAGCTCTGACTCCTGTGCTCCTCTCAACCTCTTTCCTGGACGACATTCGTGTCGTCCAGCTTCAATGATGTCTTTATTGCTCCAGCACACAGGCTCAGAGAGGCCCCTGGGCTTTTGCTCTCTTCTTTTTCTATGACCCATCCATCCCCTTTCCATTCACATCTTAGATGTGGTCTCTCCAGAGAAACTTGTCTTTTCCATCCCCAATTTACACACACACACACACACACACACACACACACCCCTAGGCTCCCACCAGAATTTGTAAATTACTTTGAAATACATAAAAAAAGAAGGCAGACTGATAGATGGGGAGATGGCAGCTATGTAATAAGGCAAGAAGGGTGAAACGTTCGTGGTAGAATCTAGGTGATGGGTAGATGGTTAACCGTTCATTATAAATTGATTTCTCCTTTTTCTGCATGTTTGCAATTTTTCATAACAAATGTAAAGGGAGGAAGGGAGAAGACTCTTCCAGAGACAAAGAGGCAGGAAGGAACCCTAAGCAGTCCCACCATTCCAACTGTGACATCACCTCCCATATTCACAGCACATTCCACACTCTGGAAGGGTTTCATTCATTTCCTGGTTTGCCTGTTTATTATTTATTTAGTAGTTCATCGTGATTATTGTATAGTCATTGCAATCTATGCTTCTCCCATGGCAAATGGGCACCCATTTCCTTCAGGGGGCTTAGTAGAATAAGGACTTTTTTTTTTCTCCGAATGCCTCAGGGCAGGTTTGGCTGCCTGGAGTTGTGGGGATCGAACTACTGCAGCCTGAGGCTGACAGCTTTGTGGAAGCAGCCACTTAAAGAACTGAGCTAGGGCCAGGGCCCCAGGGGGCTTAGTAGAGACTGACACACAGCAGGATGCTCAGGAAATGTTTGTATGCCCTTGAACACCTCTTGGGAGAGTGATGTGGGACACAGCCCCTGCCATTGGGCACCACAGGAAGAAATAATCTCCAAGCCTGGAGTCACTAAAAGGGAACCATATGTCCCAGCTTCTGTGGAATGTCGTGGGTGACCAGTGACCCTAAGGTGGCCTCAAGATTTGAGCAACACGTGGAGGTAAAACAGTGTGGTCATTTCTGTGGGGCCATAATTTCTGCACCAGACTTTCTAATACAGAGTCACATCCCATTGTATTCCTCTGCAATTTAGGTCCCACTCCAAGGCTACTCTCAACCCTCTGTCCCTCAGGCTCTGCCCCTAGATCAAAAACTCATGCCCTATCTGACCTAAGGGATAGATAGCCATTCAAATGAAGCCCATATTGCAGAGACAAACTATACACAATTCAGAATACATTCTCAGTCTAGGCCCCACCCACAGGCTGAAGCCTCATCCCAATGCCATTCTTCCTCTTAATTTTGAGTCTCAGCAAGGTTCCTTATGCCTGGGCTAGGTCTCCTATAACCAACCACCCTCAAAACTCAGCCTCTCTAATGAGACCCCTGCTCACATCCACAGTGAAGAGGGAAAAGTCTCCCAGAGAAAGCCTCAGGCCCAGAACTCAGATCTGTAAGAACAGAAAAGGTAGGCTGGTGAAACTAAAAGAAGTGGTATCCAGTTTGCACACCACTTCAAAGAGTACCCCCCAAACCCAAAGCCACACCCTATGTGCTCACTCTTTATTGGATAATGTACTCTGTTCTGACCTCCCTGATTGGTCCTTGCACAGTCCTAGCCATACCCATTCTCCTGAGTCATCCTCTTTGATTGGCTCTTGCTTTCCAGACCCTTTGCTCCTATTGGACAAGGCCTTATGCAAACCCCTCTCTGATTGGATTATTTACAAGCAGAGCCTCCCTACTGACAGAAATGCCACTGTGGAGAGGTGGGAACCTCAGGGAGGAAGGAGAAGAGAGGAAGAGGTGATGGTTCCCTAAATCTCTTGCTTAGGAAAGGTAGTTCATCACAGGGTCTCCTGAGGCTTGAATTCTAATTGTAGTGTCTGACCACTGGCCATGTGGCTTCAAGCAACTAATCTTGACTTCTGTGATTTAGTTTCTTCATCTTTAATTGGTGGTAATAACCTTCTGAATGAGTTAATACTGTAATGTGCTTGTAGAAGTATCTGGTACACAGCAAGCACCCAATAGAAAAGTTAGCTGTTGTCATTCATTTGCTTATGAAAGTGCAGTACCTTGAGCAAATCACTTCACCTTGATGACCTCTGCAGGTCATTCCTTGTCCTCTTAATTGAATATCTTAACCCCAGTCGTCCTGCCTTTCCATCTCCAGCCATCAGGGACTGGGACTGTGATAGGTAGATGGGGAAATGAGGGGAGGGAGGGTACAAGAAGAATTCAACCCATCTACCCCCAAATAAAGGCAAGGGCCATCTCCTTATGTCCCAGCATAGAATGGTTCTGAGTTACTCATTCCAAGGGGTTGACCTGACCAGAGAGATATGGTGGCAAGGGATAGGGCAGGGTGGGCTGATGAACAAGATCTGATGCTATAGCTGGGAGGGAAGAAGTATGGTTAGAGCTAGGCCTTTTAGCCCCTCCCCCAGGACTTTGAGGGGAGTCCTTGTATCACTCCTTGTATCATTGTTACCATAGCAATGGGCCATCCTCTACAAGGGAACCAGAAGTGGGGAAGGACTTTCAAGTCCCTGAATCTGGGAATAGAGAGATGAGGAATGAGAGATGGAGGAGAAGCAGAGAGATGCTGAGAAGGGTATGATTCATCTTGGTGAAAACTGCCTCCTTCAGGATTTTCAGAGCTTGGTATACCATAGGTGCTCAATAAAGGTCCTGAAGACAGACTAATGCATGAGATAGTTCAGTGCTGAGACGCCAGAAGAAAGGGGAGAATCAGGTGGGCTGGGGTCTCCCTTCCCTGGTCTTCAACCCCTCTGTGGTCCACTGAGGATCCCATATCCTCTCTACCTCCCACAGCAAGGGCCCTCAGGCCTATCCAATCACCTGAACTATCCAGCCCAACAACTCCAAGCCCAAGCAGCAATTGTAGTTGAATCTTTTACAACTTTTCGGCCTTTAAATTCTTTCTGCCTGCGGGCTTAGCTGAAGAAAGTGGCATTCTGCGCCTGCTGATGCCCACTAGTACCCAGAGAGTCCAGAGGACGAGGAGACAGAAAGGGAACTGGCCATCTGCATTCTTTCCTATCGAATGGCCTTGTTTTCTTAAGAGCGATCCCTCCATAGACGCTTCCCCCAACTCCTCCAGGAGACCCAGGCCTCCCTCATTCCCCACCGCTTCCCCCTGGAGATTCTACAGGCCCCGCCCCTTCCGAGAAACAGGTGTCGTTTTCTCCAGCAACTCAGCTCCCATGCGCTAGTTCTGCTCGCCCCCTGCCGGCCGTACGGAGATACTGCAGGGGCTGGCGCCTACCGCCTAGAATGAGGGGCAGAAATTAAGTCAGGATCTGAGTTCTTGCGTTTTTAATTGCTTTACAGTCTTGGATGCTCTCATCTTAAGGATTTTAGTCTTCAGTTCCCTTGGGGACTCAAACATCAGGAATTCATGTCTCTGCTTCAGAGGTCAACGAAAAAAAGACAACTTCTCTTGAAGCCAGGCCTCAGTGAGGTCATCAGTGGTGCGGATTTCAAACACCTGGGCAGACAGAGGTCTTAGCATTATGATCTGGTGAGGACTCCAGGCCCCTCGGACGCAGGTGTCCAAGTCCCAGACCTCCTCCCTCAGACCCACGGGTCCAAGCCCCCACCCTGCCTCCCATAATACTCCAGAGGTGAGGCTGGCCAGGACCTTTGTGAGCTCTGCCGTCTGCACGAGCCTGTTTTTACTTCCCGCGTACATCATCTGCTGTTCAGGCTTGCAGCCTGCATGGAAAACAGAGGAGGGCATCACGGGGGACCCAGGCGAGTTCTGTGACGCTTTAGCGATGTCCTGCAGACTGGGCAGTTTGGGGAGGGTCTTGGGAACTGTTCTAAGAGGTCTCCAAAGACTGTGGTCAGGGTTTTAACTTTGTTTGGGACCTTCAAGTTACTGTGAGGGTCTCAAGAAAAGATTTAGGGGCAGGTAGACAAAAGGAAGAGGAAGTTGTCTCCTGCCTCAAGATGAGAACAGGGGGGCTGTGGATGGATCCAAGCCACCACCTCCAGCTCACTGCCCTAAAACACCACTCTCCACACACCTGTCCCGTCACGAGCAGCCTCTCACACACTCATTCTCTTTCTTCCTCGCTCTCTCTTGTTGTGCAAAGGATGGAACCTGGGGTCTTGTGCACAGTGGGCCAAGCACTTTTGTTTTGTTCTGTTTTGCTTTGTTTTGTTTAGAAAGAGTCTCATGCTACGGGTTTCAGGCTGGCTTTTAATTATCATGCTAGACTGGCCTCAAACTCAGCAATCCTCCTGCCTCAGCCCCCTGAGTGGTGGGAGTAGAGGCATGCTCCATCATGTCCAGCTTTAGGTTAAGCACTCCTACCACAGGTGCCTGTATACATTTGCACAAACACAGTCTCACACCCATTCACTGTAACCATGGTGCCCACACACACATTCACAAGTGTATGCCCAAACACACACACACACACACACACACACACACACACACACACACACACACAGTCAGGACCTAAGATCCACTTCTTGGGGAGGCTGGGCTATTTCTCACCCACAGGGCTGGAGAAGATGAAACACAAAGGGTAGGAAACCCGGCCATCCTCGTGCACATACTTGTAGCTGTAGACCACGAACCTGCACCCAGGGAAAGGAATGCAAACTTAGGACTTGGGCCTGGAGCCTAGGCCCCACTCCCCCAGTTTACAAGTTTGTTTCTTTGTTTTGTGGTACTGGGGATTGAATTCAGGGCCTATGCCCTGAGCTAAATCCCTAGGCTATTTATAGTTTGAGTGGCATATTAAGTCATTAAATTGCCTGAGCTGGGCTCAGACTTTTGAAACACCTGCCTCAGCCTCCCTGAGTGCTAGGATCAGAGGTGAGCATCACCACACCTGTCTCCGTCTGTGTGGTTAAATCTGGACTGAGACTGGGAGCCTAGGGTTAATGACTGGGACCAGGGTACTCATTTCAATCTCAACAGAGGATTACAAATAATAATTGTCATGGGGACTGGAGGGGGGACCTCAGTGGGAGACCATCTGCCTAGCATGCATGAGGCCCTGGGTGACCTAAAACTTGTGATTCCAGGTGGGTGCTGGCCCTGAGCTCCCCACACCAGCAGGGCCTGAGGCCAGGTGCAGGCCACAACTGAGAACTTGTGGAAGCGGCAGCAGGAGGCAGGACCTGCATGCTCTGCTATCTCATCAGACTCCTTGCAAAACACAAATTCAAAGGAAAACCATAAAGAATGTCAACATTAGCCTCGTACAGTGGTGCACACCTCTACTCTCAGGTACTCCAGAGGCTGAGGCAGGAGGAGTACAAGGTTGAGACCACCGTGGGTGCAAGACTTCCTCAAATTTAAAATTTTGAAGGGACTGGAGATTTAGTTTAGTGGTACAGTATGGGCCTAACATGCATTAGGTCTTGGGTTTCAGCCCCGTCACTGCAAAAAGAAAAAAACAAAACCCAGTGTCAGCATTAACCCGGGATCCGAGGCCCCCTCTGGGTGCAGGATGCTGCGTGGTTGTTGAATGACTATAAAGCCAATCCTGACTGAGACCCAGAGCCTGAGATTGAGGCTCGAAATCCTAGAGACCCAAAACAAAAAATGAACTTAGACAACATGAAACATATGAGCAGACCAGTTTTGTAGACATGGCAAAGAGCTCTTCCAAAAACAACAACAACCCAGGCTCATGCAGCTTCCCACAGATTATACCAGTTACTAACATGCTCTGGGTTCAATCCCAGCCCCCCCCCCCCAAAAAAAAAAAAGGAAAAGACATCTCTTTGCTGCCCAAACCACTCCCCAGCAATGAAAAACAAGAGAAATTGCACTTTTACAAAATGAAACCAGCATAGTCAGGCACAGCAGTGCACATCTGTAATTCCAGGTACTCAGGAGGTTGAGGCAACAGAATTGTAAATTCAAGCCCAGTCTGGGCAATTTAGCAAGACCCTGTCTCTATTTTTTATTTATTTATTTAGGCCTTTTGAGAAAGGTTATCCCTATCTAGTACAGCCAGGTGTTGAACTTGCAATGATCTTCCTGCCTCAACCTACCAAGAGCAGGGGTTGCAAGTGTGCACCACCATGCTCAGCCCTGTCTCAAAATTTAAAAAAAATATATAATATATAATATATAATATATAGTATGTATAATTATATATATAATAAGGGGGCTAGGGAGATGGCTCAGCAGAATAAGCATTTGACTGGCAAGTGCAAGGGCCTGAGTTCAATCCCTGGTTCTGCCAAATAAATTAATTAACAAATAAAGTAAGGCTGAGGATTTAGCTCAATGATCCCTTGGTTCAACCCTCAGTACCACAGAGAAAGAAGGACGAGGAGGAGCAGCTGCTGCCAACAATGTTGCATCAAGACCAAACATTGGGGCTGGCGAGATAGCTCAGCAGACTAAGTACCTGCTTAGGCCAGCTCAGGGACTGGGTTCAATCCCCAGCACCACGTGCCACACCAGCTCTGCTCCTGGGCACGCTGAGCCAGCCACCAAGACCGAGCACAGCGGCACTAAGCCTCTAATCCCAGCGCTGGGGAGGCTGAAAACAGGAGGATCACTACAAGTCTAAGCTGCGTACCAAATACATAAAAACGGGGCCAGGGAGATGGCTTAGTGGAATAAGCGCTTCCCTGGCAAGTGCAAGGGCCTGAGTTCAATCCCCGGTTCTGCCAAAAATAAATAAATAAATAAACCAAACATTGATAAAGTATGTACAAAAAAATAAACTCTACACCAATATTATGTGTGTCATCAGTGTAAAATTCTGCAATGAGCTCATACTACACGATAAAATTGTTTTTACAGTATGAACTCCTAGACTCAAACACAGAGGTCCTGAGCCCCTGGCAAGGGCCTGACCTCGGTCAGTCTCGGTGTGTGCCTCCACCACGACCCCTTCCCACAGCCTGCCCCTCCCTTCCATTCCCCCCGCATACCTCGGCTGTCTCTCTGGCAACTCCAATTTAAGCTCCTCTGGGGAAATGTTCTGAGGCCAAAGATACATAAAAGAGAAGACAACAATCACCACTAAATGAGTACTTACTGTGTGCCAAGGTACTGTTCTCAGAAACATGGTTTCATTTACTGTAGAATCCTATTATTATACCCACTTGGCAGCTGAGGAAACTGAGGCCCAGGGTGGGTCAAAGACCTTGCCCCAGGTTGCACAGACAATAAGCAGGAGAGTTCACATTTAAATCCGTGTCCCCACAGTAACCACTTCACTACTTCTTTTCAGAGGGCCCGAGGGGGCCAGCTCCTAGCTGGTCCTCTTCCACTGTCAACCAGCTTAGCCTGAGGCTCTGAGACCCCTATCATCCATCCTTTCCCCAACACCATGAGAGAAACTTGCGTTGGCTCTATGTTACCAATGACTGCAAGTCTGTGAGGGGGCTCCCTGATCATAAAGGACTTCTGTGGGCTTTTCGTTAACTTACCTTGAAACTCTTCCATTTGCTTAGGTGTGAATGGAGTATTAACAGTAGCATTATCACTTTATTGAGCAAATATTATGTGCCAGGCCTTTTAAAACCCATGACAAACCTTAAATCATTAGACCTGCAAGTGAGAGCTTCCTCTGGTGTAGCTGTTTTCCAGATTTCACAGGGAAGGGGACAGACTATCTCAGCAAAGTCCCTTGCCTAGAGTTGCCACTGTGCTGGAATTTGATATCTAAGCCTTGCTGGTTGAGGTGCCAGCCTCTTGGCTTCAGTCCCCACTCCTGCGTTTCCCCAATCCCTCCCTGCCCCTCACCTGAAATTCTTCTTCCAGCACCACCATCTGCCGGTCTTTGTCCACCTTCACTGGAGAGGGATGGCACACAGAGGTTAGAGGTCCCTCCCATCCTAAAGGGACACTAGTCCAGCCCTCCATCCAGGAAGAAGTCACTCACTTATGATGGCGGCATTGTCCGTCTCTTTTCTGAAACGGAATTTCCTCAGCTTCTCCTTCAGGTCCGGGTCCACCTCACACACCACCAGGGAGTCAGACTGTCAGAGGGGCAAGGGACAGCTGAGCTGAGCGGCAGGCTCTGGTCTCTGCCATCTCCACCCTCCCCAGCCCCAAGCCTCAGGTTCTCCAGCCATGAAGGAAGACGCACAGGTCCCTCCAGCCCTCCAGAGGCCTTTGTGAGGTGAAGGCAGATGTTGCACCCCCATCCCTCCGGGCCAAACAGCTAGAGGTGACCCCAGCCTTCTCCTGGGCTGCTACCCCAGGGGTCTCACTTGCCTAGGGCTAACCCCAGAACCATCATCCACCCCTTCCTAATCAACCCCTAGATCCTGACCATGATGTCTTCTGTCCAAGGCCCTCTTCTTTTCTCAGTTCCCGTCTTGTAGGGGTGGGGAACAGGGCTGTAGGGGGCGGGCCATGGGGTAGGGGGAAGGTTTTGTCCAATACCACATCCTGTTTATGCTCATTTTGGGACAACTGTCACAGAGGGCTCCTCCCCCTTCTTCCTTCCTCTCATCTCTGAGGACCTATCAGCTTTACAATCACTCAGACAAGGGTTCGAACACTGCCTTGCTGTGTGACTTTCGCTCTACTAGTAACTTTACCCCTTGGAGTCAGGATTGCTGTGAAGATAAAATAGTTGTGCATACCTCCCAGCATGGTGGACATGTTCAACAAAGAATAAAAAATAGTAAGGAGCTCTTTGGCTCCTCTCCTCTTTGAAGAAGCCTTCCAGGATTTATCCCACTTGTAGCAGTTGAATCACAACACTGAGGAAGGAGTGCAGAGATTTTCACTAGTTGTACTACCATGCATTAGGGACGTCTGAGCAACCCCATACGCCTTACAATGGCCTCTCTGGTCTACAACAATGGAGATCAATCCTGTATCTCCTTTTTAAAATAAAGAATGTAAGCCACAACTGGGGGTGCAAGTTTGTAATCCCAGCATTCAGAAGACAGAGGCAGGGCTGGGGAGATAGCTCAGTAGAATAAGCACTTGCCTGGCAAGTACAAGGTCCTGAGTTCAATCCCCAGTTCTGAAAAAAAAAAAAAAATTGCTCTTACAGAAGACAGAAAAAAAAAAAAAGAATAAGAAGAAGACAGAGGCAGGAGGGTCACCAGGAGTTTGTGGGCTACAGAAAATTTAAAGGCAGACCAAATTATAGAGTAAAAACCTTGTCAGAAAAAAAGAAAGAAGGGGGGGCAGGGAGATAGCTCAGTAGAATAAG